AATGTACTCCCAATCTGTTCTGTAGCCAAGGATAAAAGATTGAGGTGAAATAGAAGTATTAATTATGTTATAACAAAGGGCCTACAGGCCTGTAAAATATTTAGTTTAGACAGACAAGGCCACAGGCCTGAAGAAACACCTGATATAAGCAAGTAACATTCATATCCAGTAACTGACCCTAGATCAGAAGTTGTCATAAGATAGAATGCTGCATCAAATATGTGTATCACTTGCTGATATTTAGGAATTATATATTGCAATGTACAAGTTAAAACTGGTTAGAGTATTTTGGGGATTTTGCAGACAAAAGGGTGTCAACAACATGCTAGCCACAAGTTATTATGGTGACTGAGTGATGTAAATCTTAATGAGGGGAATGAACAAGTTAGCCTATGATAAGTGGGGCACCTTAGAAGAAGGGTGTGGAAGTTCAAATAAGGAAAAGGGACTAAAGCACAGTGGGCATCATCATAATTCAATATAAAAGCTATATCCTGGCCTGTGTGCCTTGAGAGAAGGCAGAATGACACCCACTGGTGATGATGGTAACGATGAAGATAAGAAAGATAATGACTGATACTTCGCGTTTCTCCGCAAAGGATGGAGTGAGTATATGAATGCTCTGATGCCAGAGGTCTTGACCATTCTGAATTATCACAAACATTCCAACCCAGTAAAGTAGGTAGAGATCTTGCTAACCGTATTAATAAAAATATTACAAAGTCAAAAGGCCCTTCCTAAGTGTAAGTATTTTTCCTCTGCACATCAGGGCTCTCATATTGAGAACTCTTTTCGAGCTCGAGGCTGAGCCCTGGCAAACCACAGAATGCTAACTGGGAATTAATACATAATCAATAGATCAGGCAACAGTTCTGCTGAGAAAGTAGCTGAAACCTGTGTGTCAACTAGAGCTGAATGCATAAAGTATCATCATGATGTAGGTCATTCACCCAACAGAAGCAGATGTACTACTGATTTCACAGTTTCAAAAGCCACTGGTCTCATTTTGACTTTGGCTATTGACACGTCTATCTCAGCACTTCAATATCTTCCCTTGGAGACCAAATTAAGTTATCCCAAACCAGGAAGGAAAACACTTTTTCCTCTGTAACTTTTCTTTAATGGCCATAGACAACGGTACTGGCGCATCACTACCAGGCTTTGACAGCTTGACAGCAGAACATATAAACTATTTTTCTACAAGATTTTACAGAACTCTTCTTCAAACAAATGAACCTTTCACTTGTATTTCGGTATTCAAGAACTCTGAACAATATATCTGAATATTTCAAGAACAAACATGGTATGGAAAAAACGTGGAATTTCTTCCGTTTTGTCAATTTAAGCAAAACAACTGCCCTTAGCAAGATTTAGTGTGTTCATCTGAATGAACACGTATCAAACCACGCCATGATCTCAAGTGAAGAGTTCTCTCGCCACCATAGCAGGATACAGATGAAGCAACAATTGGCCATTGGCAGAGGGTCTCTTCCGTCAATCCAACTCAAGACTGAGTCATTGAAGTAGTACAGTGTGGCTGCTCAAATGGCAGTTGCAGAAGTCTGAACTGTTCATACAAACAGGAAAAAGAATGATGTGATCAGAAATGTGCTGATATGATGCACAGATGCAAAGTGCCAGAAACCGTTTCAAATGATCACTGTCAATAATAACAGCAGATATACTGATGTGTATTTCTTTCCCATTTATCCAACATTGCGTGTTCAGCATTTATATTTGGGTATTTTTTTATGAATGAAATATTATAAAAGTGTATTTTTAGAAGTTATCGAATAATTTGGGTGTGAAAAAGATATATTAACAGGGCAAAAGAAAACCTGGCACCAAGAAGTCTTTTCTTTGTAGAGTTTTGTGAACACTTGCTTCATCATTATTTTTAATGTGCACAATTTTGACAAATATATAAATTGTGCTACTATGCAATTTTAATAAAAATCCAGCAGTTATTATTGATTACTTTAAAAGGTATTATCCACATTAATAAGTCAGTTACACAGCAAACCTTTTCACTCATATGAGGACATTGTGACCACCTGCTTCCCCTCTTCAAGATTCCATAGTTAGAAGCAATCATTTCTATGGATGTAGGACATACTGTGCACAGAATATGATTCAGCTAATATGAGAAAGAAAATACCACCAAAAAAGTCAAACTATTTTCAATGGGGTACATTTAAAATTGTTTTACAATTAAAAATTTACATAGGAATGGAGACCCATTTTTTTTTCATCAATTAGGGAAATAATGCAAATCTTAGTCCAGTTTAGACTGCAACATATTGTATTTATTTTATAAGAGTGGTGAACTACTACGCTGGAAATAAAGTAAACTTAGAGAACTTCAAGAAAGTAAATTTATTCTAACTAAAGTTATCATTATCTGTCCAGCAAGGATAAAATTAAATACAGTCAACATCCGTTAGTTTCCAATTTAACTTAATGAGTAATAAGAATACTGTAAAAACTTATCAAACATTGTGGTAGCCCAAATTAGCTTTTGTACTCAATTTTAAAAGCATTATTTCAATTATCAGGCTTTAATAAGAGATATCCTGATGAAAATATTATACTACTAATAGTAGTAAGTCCATAGTAAAACAATGAAGTCTTAGTATCCTTGTGTTACTTCCCAGGCAACACAAGTAAATGATGTGAAATTCAGCATACATTGTATACCTGTTTATATCAGGTGTCTTTATATTTGCCTATCTGCAGTCATAGCTGTATTCTCTGCATCTTCATGCAACTACAGTTTTTAGTAACAAAAACACTGTATAAAGAAATAAACAAGAATTTATTTATAGAAAACAGAATAAGTAGTGCAAATTACTATGAACCAAGGGCCAAGTTCACCACCAGGACCTATGGGCACAGTTAACTAAAATCAGAGACATAATAATTGCTTTACAACATCAGTGTATTTGGTTCAATGTGTTTAATTCTGTATTTAAAAATAAAACTTCTTTTGATCCCATATAATCAATCATTTCATTTACTATATCCATGGTTGAGTTAATTAGTATAGCATAGTGGGAAGAGTCCAATTTTTTCTTTTTTAAGACACAGAATAGATAAGAATAAAAATTTAATACTTAAGGTATTCTGAATTTTCAAGAGGTTACATAATCAACAAGACCATTAACTGTGGGTCCAGATTCAAACCTGGATGCCTAAAAATCAATACCCTTTTCAGATGTTTAAATATGGATATGGCTTAATTTTAGCCATTTAAATTTGAAAAACTATAAGTGAAATCCTGGCCCCACTGAAGTTAATGGCAAAACTCTCATTGAGTTTACTAGGCCCAGGATTTCACTCCATATGAAACTGATGAATCAAATTAAGGCACTGATCCTGGAAACTGATCTACAAACACAAACATGTGGGCTTACACAGAGTCCAACTGCATTCAGTTAGGGTCCATGCAGACCAACAGTCCACAGAAGCAAATGAGATTGAAAAACTGAGGCCTTAGACTATTATCCCCTCAGAGCAGGACCTATTATTTTACTGGTCTATAAAGCCCCATGAAACACCTAAAGCACTGTACAAATAATGAAATTACCAATTTTGTCTATTTGGTAATCTATTACATCAAATTGTCATAAATCTGCACTATTTCTTTTGCACTTTAGATTACATTAGAAAGACCAAAAATAGTTTTGGCTAAAGTTAGATACCCTCTACAAAAGTTTATAGCAATATTTTGCCTACACAGCACAATGACATGTCAATATCAGGAAAGATTAATGCAATGATTTAAATTTAGAGCAGTCTTTCTTAACTGTACTGCTTGTATAAGGAAAATTCTATTAGTGCTATTAGTTTATTTTATTTCTAGAATCTTATTTATTTCAAGTACTTTATAATAAAGTTCTATACCACTTAACATTATCCTTTCGGACAATTTCAAAATCAACTGGTCACCTACTAATTGATGATGATAATTAAGGTTTCCTCAATTCCACAGTAAATTTTAATTCAAGTTTGCCTCAAGCATTCACTTTCAGATGTGTTCAGTTCAAAATGGGGATTTATAAAATTAAGTTTGATTTCAAGGAACATGTCAAAATTCTACTCAGAGTTTGCATAACAATTTTTAATTGAACACCATTATACTAGCAAGACAGTTGTGTTTAATATTATTAACCTGTAAATTATGCTTTCTGGACATTATATGGTACCGTAACAAAAAACTAATTAAGGCAGATTTCATTGATGCAGCATTACAAAAAACAGTAAGATGGAAACCAAAGGGTTAAACAAGAAATTAACTCTGATTCTTACTTCACTTATAACTCAGAGATTCACATTTCAGGTTAAAATACAAAAACACACTAATTATCATTTAAATAATAAAAGCTAGTTCTAATTATAAACAAAGTGCTAAAGTATTTACATTATTATAAGCCGTAGAGCTTATACTCAACATGTCTAGGTGAAAACTGCATCCATTTTGTCCATGCTGTAAGTTGCAAAAGTTTGTGAAATTTTCTGAATGTTTTTGCAGTACATAAACCTTTAAAGAAAAAAGTTAACAGTGCAAATACACAATATATACTAACAAAAGTTATTACACTAATAGCTGAGTGAATCTTTTTTTGGCAAATAATTCTGCTCTAGCTCTTTTGTAAATTTATTCATTAATATGATGTAAAGTGTTGTAATAGATAACTACATAATAGACAAGATGTAAAATTTGGGGGCATTTTACAGAGGTGTGATAAATATGGTTTTAATAACTTAAATATACACTCTGTTTCATATATTGCACTGATTGATATCACTTCAAGTGCAATATTTTTTATTACTAGACATGTTAAAAATCTTAAGTTTTACAATAAATGAACATGTCTAACTGAAGTTCTCTTAATAAGATGTTTGCTGTTCTGATTTTTTTCAGTTTTATTAGTATCTATGTTTGCTATCCTATGTTAGTTAGTTAGACACACAACAACCAAGCAAAAAACCCCACTTACTCTATTTGAGCTCCATGAGCTACAAGGGCACTTATGGAATCCATACTACCAGATCGTGCTGCTTTATGAATAGGGGTTTCACCAACATAATCCTGCAAAGACAGAGCACATTTTGTCAGGTATAACTGCTCCAAAAAAATAAAGTTACATTATTTCTAAACATTCAGTGTCTTTTTCCTGACATGAATTAAAGAAATGGATTAGTAAAGGTAGCCAGTATCCAATTTTGAATGTGACCACTACTTTAATAGTGTTGTAAAGGTTGTTCTGGGTTTCTCTATTTTGGATGCCTCATAAGGAAACTAATGCCACGTGATTATGGCAGAAAGAGAAAATTCCTTTTTTCATAAAACACAACTAGCATGATTTCCACAGCAACTCCCAAGAGACCTGGTTCTCCTCCCAAGAAGTGGAGGTGGGGAGCTCTTCTTCCAGGGCAGAATAGTGCCCAGGGCTGGGAAGAAGCTTATAAACCAGGGGTTCTCAAGCCGGGGGGTCAGGACCCCTCAGGGGGTCGTGAGGTTATTACATGGGAGGGTTCGCGAGCTGTTAGCCTCCACCTCAAATCCTGCGTCGCCTTCAGCATTTATGATAGTGTTAAATATGAAAAAGTGTTTTAATTTATAAGGGAGGGGGTCGCACTCAGAGGCTTGCTGTGCGAAAGGGGTCACCAGTACAAAACCCTTAAGTTCACAGGAGCCAACAGTCTTTGCTACTGCCTTATGACCTACCATTCAACCCAGAGTCTCCTTATAGACCATGAGAGGGCTGAATGTCTTATTAAGAGGAGCAGACAGAGGTATGCTCCTTAAATGGGTCAAGGAATTTTTTTTCTCCTGCTGTCCCAGACAAAATTCCTCCAACACCCCTGAGACCATGGAGTGGGGTGGTAATGCCACTCTAATTACAGACATTTAGTGGATTAAGGGAACTACAGAAAATATGATCATTGTGCTTATTTACAGCATTTGTTTAATAGCAAATCCTGTACTTAAGGTGGCAACATTTAAATTATAACTATTATTCACTTGCTACTTTTGAAACACTCTTCTGGAGCGATGAAATTATTTACAATTATATTTAACTAGAAGATGATTGGTTTGTTTTGTTAGATTATGAGGAAAAAAACCTCAAGCATGTTGGGATTTACATCAGACTGGAAAACACAACCCACTTGCCATTGAAAAAAGTTATTCCCCATCCCTGAACTTTAAAAAACCCCGGAATTTTGAAAACTAGCAAGTAAATTTGATTCTTTCGAAAGGACATCTGAGATCAAATTTAAGGGAAAACTAATGAATTCTCCCTACCTCCAAAATCACTCTTTTTATTCGGTACAATACTCTGGATAGAATACCAGATAGAATGGGTCAACAAGAAGAATCAACCTCTCTTTTCCAGTGGCCAATAGGCTGCACAGAGTACAGTTCAATGGCAAGAAAAAAGTACTTCTCATCCATACCCTTTCTATGAGTCTATTGTTACTACAAGGGAAGGCTCATCACACTAAATCAAGACAAGCAAAGCTAGTTGGATAATGAAATTATAAGTCTAGAAATTCAGTTCTTACTTTGAGCATGCTCAGTTATAGCAGATCCTAATTAAGCCCCTTTTGTGACAACAAAAATGCACATTTCTGAACAACAGCTCCAGAGGTTGATGATGGGGTAACTTTTGTGTGGGAAATTGTTCATGTCTCATTGAAACAATCATAGCACAGTCCTTCCTCAAGGTACAAGCTAACCTCTTTCCCTCATGCAAGCCTCTATTAACAGTAAAATGCGACCTCAGTGAATGCTCTACTACCCCATTTGTCTTAACAATTGAGACCATTTGGATATTAAAATGCTCACACAACTTTTTCTTTTAAAAAATTACATTAGAAGTTAAAGTTGCACAATTAAAATAAAATTTAAAAATGAAAGTTAAAGTTCCTACAGCAGAGTTAACTTGACAATATTGCACATCCTATTTGTTTTATGGTAAATATTTTACAGCATAAACAGATAGTAACCCTTTTGTTGTTGTTGTTAAAAGCGAAGTATTACAATGCAACTGTAAAATTTCTGATCCACCACTGTAGATTTTTTTTTTTTAAATCTGTTTATATTAATTGCCACTCCACAGAATTATAATAAATGTTTTCATTGCTGCTAGAACAGGGGTTTTCAAACTTCATTACAGCGCGACCCCCTTCTGACAATAAAAATTACTACACGACCCCAGGAGTGGGGACTGAAGTCTGAGCACACGTGAGCCCCACTGACCCGGGTGAGGTGGGGTGGCAAAGCTGAACAAGGGCTTCAGCTCCAGGCATGGGACCTGTAGTCTGAGTCCCAACATGCAGGGCTAAACCCCTCAGGTTTCAGGTGGTAGGGGTTGGGCTTCAGCCTTGGGCGCAAGCAATTCTAAGCCAGCCCTGGCGACCCCATTAAAATGGGGTTGTGATCCACTTTGGGGTTCCAACCCACAATTTGAGAACCACTATGCTAGAATATACATGGCAAATTGTTCAGCACTGAAGGAATTTATGGTCATGCTTGCTGTGCATTAATAACCACATTTTTTGCAAAGGCACAACAGTACAAACCTGTAATTATTACTGTTTGTCTCTATTACTGTTAAGAAAGTTCCAGAGTACAAGTTACCCACACAATTTCATTGCCTAATACATCCTTTAACCACAAATAAATCTTAGTCCAGCCTCACAATATAGTAATGAAGATTAACTAGCTCAGATAAAAATCTATTCATCCACCCATATTATGATGATGAAAAATGTAGGTTTTTAAAAAAGTTTAAAGAAGTCACTTGTTGAATTTTATAAGACCTTTAGCCTCGGAAGAGAAATATTATGAAAACAAGTACATCCTAAAATAATCCCAGTCAGCTCCTATTAATACCAGTTGGAATTTTGATTGAATCATGTTGCATTAACTGGTGGTTTCATGATTTAATTAGATATGGTGGCTTGACTTACAGTTGTATTTTTTACATTCTTATCTGTTTAAGAGATGCATTGTAACAACAGAATTGTGGTCATGCTGCTAATAACACAGCAACTTGATAAAGACAGTTTTACTGAAAACAGCAGCCAAACCTCAAATCTTGGAGCAGAAAAATGGGTTATTCAAATCTTCAGTTGAGTTAAAACATATTTACTCTAACGGTCATTATAATTTCTTTATAAATCTCATTTTATAAGACACTTAATCATTAACTGTAGAAAGCATGAGATACAAATAATTAAAACTTTTCCAAACTACCCTTCATTAAGGACTATGGTCCAGAGCCACAAAGGTACTTAGGTCCTTAAGTTCCCATTTTTAGGCCTCACTGTAACCCATAAAACTCCTGCTCAGTTGCTGCATAACCTTGTAGGCATCTGAACTCACTCGGTGCCTAAGTTTTCAGCATAAATATTTCCTAGGTGCCCATGTTTCTGCCCATGGGCAGGTGTGCTGCTTCCTCACTTCCACCTAAGTCCAAGAGCAATCCACAAACTGGCAAAGGGAAAGACAAGTGAATGCCTATTTTGTTTTCGGGGCCCGATCCAGGTGTGTGGTACCATTCAAAATCCACCCACGTTATAACATTCAACCCAACGACTGGATTACTCAACATGGAAAGTGGGAGAACCGAGTTCAATTCCCCACTCTGAAAGGAGACACTTATTCAAATCCTACCTCTAAGCAGTGTGCTCTAACTCCAGAGCTATGGGATATTTCAATGTGAGACTACCTCAATCTCTGCTGTTGAAGCTTTGGCAGAGTCACTAGAGCAGTGGGGCTGGAACCTGGATCTCCCACCTTCTAAGTGATGCACTAAACACGAGGCTTTAGAGTCTCGCTCTCCACCCTCCCATGGTGGGTCACTAGCAGAGATAGGCACCTCTCTGCAGCCTGGATGTAGGTGACTATCTCCATGAAAAGGGTGGAGCTTAAGAAACCTCTCCCATCGGCTTGTTTAGGTTGCTCCTCGCCTAGCCAGCTAGCTTATGGGAATCACATTCTAAGATGCCTATCTCTCCCCATTCATTGTGTACCAGGTTCAGACACCTAACTCAGGCTTTGTGGATTGCACCACTGTTCCTGTGACATCTTAGGTGCCTAGAAGTTAGGCACTGCAACGTTCAGCATCACAGCACAAGTCCCTTTGTGGATCCAGAGCTATGTAAGTATTTTTAAAAACTAAACCAATATCAAAGCCAACATTAATCCATACCTGCTTGTTTATGTTGGCCCCTGCTTGAACCAACCAGATCAGGCACTGAGGATGTCCTCCAAAAGCAGCAATATGGGCTGGTGTTTGGGCAAAACGTGTTGTACAGGCATTTACAGTAGCGCCAACTCTCACTAACTGCATTAGACACTCCAGCTTAAAATAGACAAGGGGAAAATAATTTAGAAATTACCCATCAAATATACCCCGATACTATATACATCATTGATTAAATTAAAGGAGAAAGTGGAACAATATCAGTTTAAACTGACCATTAGTGGAAGCAGGCTGAACATGACTAACAAAATAATAAACTGGGCCTTCACCAACAATTCCAGGTTTCTCAGTCACTAAAGAAATAGCCAAAAGAAATGTAATTCTTGGGAAAAAAAAAAGTTTTAAACAAATCCAACACCATTAATTTGATAGGGAAAAAACTGATACTTTAGAGATGATTACAGTAGGGATTTGTATTCTGTTTGCTTCTGTCAGAAAAGGTGCTAAGTTTCTGATCTGGAAAGTTGTGAATGCAACTTTAAATAGACACTGTCAAGTAGCATTTGCTAGAATTTTAGTTTTTTGAATAAAAAAACCTACTGTGAACTTAAATGTTTTTAGGAAAGTTTAAAAGGAAAGGCGCATGAAGAGTATGCAATAAAGAATGATAACTAAAAATTCTACTTTAGTATTTCCCTGCAGTTTTGGAAACTCATACTCCAAAAATGCTGAAGAGTATGTGTATTACAATTCTTTCCATTTAAAATGTCTGTAGTGCAGTCACTGGTAACATAGCAAAAGGATCTGTTTGGGTTTTTTGGTTGCCTTTTCAAATATGATCACTTTGGCAGTGTCTCTTTATTCTGACAATCAATCTCATATCATACTATGCTGAAATTTTTAATATTTCGACCTTAAAATAATTCTGAGAATGCTTTGAAAAGATGTCAGATTAGTGTGTGGGGGGGAGGGGGGAGTAGCAGAATTGCAAAGGTAATGGCTTAGAGAAAAGTGGTTGGAAAATTGTGTCACGCAATTGCCATAAATTGGTGCCTTCAGGAACAGGAATCACTAGGAAATTAGCTTATGTACAAACACACATTTGTTTTATACTAGGCGGCACTGTACTAGGCGTCACTGTACTATGATTAATTTTATTCTGAAGATTAAGAGCATGTAGATCAAAGCTTTCAAGTCAAATGACTAAAATCAGGCATCTTGGTTTGAAAATTTTAACAAATACATGATCACTACATATATTTTCTAAACTTCAACTGTAATTGGGCAAATGTGTTGTAGCATTAGTGACTGTCCCTACCAGTTTAATAAAAAGTTAAAATTAAATCTGTAATTTATTAATTTATAGGTTTAGGTTTAAGAGAACTTTGATTACTAACTGTACTTCTCTGCTGAGAAAACAGGATATATGAACGGCATACAGAAAATAAAACGCATTAAAAACTCTCAGTGGATTTAAGATTGGGTATAAAGGAAATATGGTAACTCACCATGCAACAGAGAGGGTTCAGAGAAGCGCCATAATGATTAAAGGATTAGAAAACATGCCTTATAATGACAGACTCAAACAGCTCAATCTATTTAGCTTAACAAGGAGAAGGTTTAGGGGAGAATTGATTATAGTCTATAAGTATCTACATGAGTAGCAAATATTTAATAATGGGCTCTCAATCTAGCAAAGAAAGGTATAACACGATCCAATCCTGGAAGCTGAAGCTAAACAAATTCATAGTGGAAATAAGGTATACATTTTTAAGTGATGGTAATTAATCATTGGAACAATTTACCAAGGGTTGTGGTGGATTCTCCATCACTGACAAATTTTTAAATCAAGAATGCATGTTTTTCTAAAACATATGCTCTAGGAATTATTTTGGGGAAGTTCTATGACCTGTGTTTTATGGGAGGTCAGGCTAGAAGATCACAATGGTCCTTTCTGGCCTTGGAATCGGTGAATAAAAATATCTTGGGGTGAGCAAAGAAGTATAGTGCTAATGAACCTAGCTCCCACAAACCCTAACATTCAACACGGGAGAAGGTATTCTTTGAAAAGATAAATAAATAAATAGATGCTAAAAAAACTGCAGTAATAATTAAGAGCTATATCGAGAGATAACGAACTTAAAGAGGCTGTAATAGAGATACAGTTGTAGTGGTGGTGTGAACTCTGCAAAATTTGCCCACCATTACCAACACTGGTTTGCCTCCACTAGTGTTTACACACCAAGGCCCCCAATGTCGTTGATTGGTTACCATAATCAAGCAGGGGTAAATAATTTGCTTAAGACACCAGTGACAGCCAGCGGCCCACCTACCAAAGTTACAAAGGTGAAGTTGAGCCAGCATTAGCAACCGTAAGAGATTTTGCAACATAAAGGCTAATATGTCTAAAGGTTCTAGTGAAAGTGTTACTCTTTCATTTTGCCAAGAGCAAAGGATTTTTCTTTTTTTGTCATATAAATCCAGATTACTGGCCTGAAGAGAGGCAGGGAAACCTCAATGACCACTTATTGTGAGTTACACGTAGGTCGCAGTCTGTCAATTCCAGAGAAAAAGCAATGGAATTGGAGAACCAGTGCCCTTCTTCTAGCATTTAAGGTTGATCTGTCACCCACACTAGCATGGTTTCAAAGCCTATAACTTAACAAGGTGATTTTTAAAATGGTTTCTTTTTTTTTTTTTTTTTTACTTCTTCTTCTCTAATTTTAAGAAGTCTAATAATAGAGAGGATGAGTTGCTGCACTTCATTAGTCAGAACACGAAGCCTTCTGCCTCATGGACTGAGAGACCTGCTTCTCCGAGTCCCAACTCCATCAGAAAATGGAAGTAGCTGCTAGTCAGGAAGAGGCCAGAACTTTGGTTTCTTTAATAGGTTTTTATTATATATATATATATTTTTTTTTTTCAAGTTCATGATATAGCTACTGTGGGGATTGAGAATCAGGGTTAATCAAGGAAGATGGGGAGGGTTCCAGGGATTTACACGACAGGGAAGGTAGGACACTGGATTATGTATTTTTTTGAACAGCCCAAAGAGGAATAGAATTTACTTACCTTAAATTATATACAAGTAAAGTAAAATAGTCCAACAACAACAGTCAAGGATCACTAAACAGTCAAGGATTACAAAAGCAAGAGGCAAGCTGATATGGTCATAGAAAAAATATGGCCAATTAGTCAAGGATTTAAAAAAACAAAACAAAAAACCACAAATATAGAAGGAAAGCATTCAAAAAATCCACTATCTTGGTGCTGTATCCCTGCCCTCAATTGCCTTGTCTGGATGTTGGCTATTTAGAGCATATATTATTTTATATACTGACCTATCTTATAGCTCTGTACAACACCCAGTGTAATTCAAGGCACTATATAAACGAACTAGACAATATTTTCTTGAATACTAACTAATTTGGATGTAGTTGATTTTGTAGGACTCTATTAGTGTCCCAGGAGACAAGCATAGCTCAGTTTTCAGGGAATATACAGAAAACAGTGACTGCTCCAGAGGTATCTAAGATAATAAGGAGCAGCTTGGGATTGACTGTGGTTTATGTTCATGAACATACTTCAACACCAAATCCTACCAGTGGAAGTCCGTACTGGCAAATGAGCCCTCAGACCTTATGAATGCCAGGGCATAGTTACCTGCTACTACAATTAATCATACATTTTCTTACTGTTTTTTGTTTTGGAACTGTGCTCTATTTGTAATACTTTCTTAGAAACTAGAATACTGCATTTCTCTTCCTACTACCTTTATCCTTTTCTATTTACAAATATTGATCCTTGTCATCCCTTCCTTACCTCCCTAACCCTCCAAAAAAATGTAGTCTCTTTCTAATAAAATTAAACTTTTCAGTTTGCTTCCTTGTGGAGGCAGTCACCAACAAGACAGTTCTTGTTTACTGATATTAGTCAAAACACCTGATTTTTTTTTTAAATGATCTGTGAAGATAGCGGGGCAGAGTCTCTTCTGTGCCCAGTACCTGCTTGGTGCAGCAGGAGGGAGTGGGTGTCTACAAAGGTGCAAACTGGGGCTCTACAATCTTGGGAATTATTCTACACAAGTCCCAACATACATAAGAAAGCTGTTCTAAGGTTCGCCTGATGGCTTTGGCACCCCATAAGGGGTATTCCACCAGTCAGGGATGACCAGAGCACGATAATGTTTCAGCTACATCCCCTACACAGGGTTGAGGGTAGCCTAGGAGCTGGATTCGCACCACTGGGTGACTACCCCATGCCAGGAGACTCAGTAGCTGGGATGGGAAGATCTGTCACATTTATGGCCTCTTTGCTCTACTGGAGCAGCAGAAAGGGGCTAGAATAGGGAACAGAGTCAGGTCCAGTAATTTAATTTTTTCAGAAACTAATATTTTTAAAATCCACAATATGTTTAGAAATGCAATTAATTCAACCTCCAGTTATAATAATTTTGAACTAGAATAAGCTCCATTAAAGAAAACACAAGAGCAGGAAAAAAAAGTATGTGCATAAGTTCAATGGAAGTAGTAGCTATTTTCATTTCTCAGCAACATGTTGTATTTATTTTTATCTAATGAAAGGTGTTCCAGGTACTTTTGTACTAGATGACAAATTCAGGAACTAATTATCTGATAATGTCTATTTAAAATGTTTTATTTTCCCTTAGCACAAATATAAAAAAAAGGTTTGTAATTGAAATATACTACATCAATGTGTACACAAGCTCTTCATAAATCCAGATAGAGCAACGCTCTGCTACGGCAAAGGAATTCACTGAGGTTTAATGACCCAGCTCTGCCCCTACCCTTGAAAAATTGAATTGAGGCTCCTTAATTTACTGGTATCCTGCTTATCCTCTTTGTTGGCTTGCCCTCTTGCCTCTCTCCTCAAAGGCTTAGCCTCCTTTAATTGGACTAATTGCTCTGATTTGTGATGCTGCCAAAAGTGCAGTAATCTAAGAGCACTAAAATGTTAGGTATGTTTTCATGTATCCTATCTGTATGCAAAACTGTATACAAACAAATCTTCTGCATTCCCTTTAGTATTTTCGTTAAAGACATCTGGCCACAGGGCATTTTGCTTACGATATCTAGCATTAGCTTGCAGGCCTGATTGTTCCCTCCACAAGTTCCTTTAAGAACCTTATATAGCCTGACATAAAAAGCAATGGTTTGGAGACACAAGCAGCTGCTCTCTCCCCATTCCAGAAAGAAAAGAGCCAGAATGAGGCTTGCAGACAGAAAAGTCACAAAAGATGGGGGGCAGGGGGAGGGAACCATAACAGGGACTGGGGGAAATAAGGGAGTTAACGTTCAGATGTTTTGGGGCCACCGCACTTCCTCACACGGGGCCACGTCCTGCCCGCAATTATAACACAAAAGTGGCTCAGGGGACCCAGACACGACACAACGGCTGTGGCGCGACGCATCGCGTCCTGTCACCTCCCCGGCACTGCAGTGAGGGAGCCGTCAGGGCAGATCCCCCCGGCGCCGCTCACACTCAGGGCCCCTGGGCCGCGCTCCGCCCAGCGATCGCCTCCGTCCCAACGCACACGCCGGTCGTCATAACACGGGCACCAAAACAGAGCAAAGTCTCCAGGTGGAGCCTGCGCGCGCAAGAAGGACCGTTACTGGACCGGGGGGCGGGGGTGGGTCCTCCCGGGCCCGCGGTAACTCAACCCCCCACCCCGCCCCCGCGCGCTGGGGGAGGAGCACCTGCCCCCTCCTCCTCCCCATTGGCTCCCGCCGCCGCTGCCGGTGACCCCGGCACCTTTCGAAAGCTTGGCCGAGGGCCACGGATCTGTCCCTGTCAATAAAGCTCCCGGGAGGGGCCGGCCGGGACCATTCGCGGCACCGGGCCCTATGAGCTGCGGCGCTTCCTCCCCCCACCAGCACGAGCGGGCTGCCGGGGCCCGAGCCGCCGTCCCTCCCCCGGGCCCGCGCGAAGGGAGGATGCCGCGGCAGCCGCTGGCTCTCCTCCAGGACGTGGACAGGCCCCCACGAGAGCCCGACGCGTCCCACGTTGCCCCCCGGGGCCGGTGGGAGCGCCCCCACTGCCCGGCCCCTGGCGCTCCCCGGGGGGCGCGGACGGTACCGAGACCCCCGCCGAGCCGGGCGGCGGTTCCCGGGCCGCCCCTCCCGCGGCAGCGAGCACAGCAAGATGGCGCCGTGTGAGCCTGGGGGTCCCGCGGGGCAGCGCCCCCTCGCCGGGCCGGGCCGCACCTTGCCGAAGTGCGCGGCCCAGTGGATGGGTGTCCAGCCGTAGAAGGAGTCCTCGACGGCCAGGTCGGAGCGGGGCGAGCCCTGCAGCAGCGCGCACAGGGTGGGCAGGTCCCCGTCGCGGCAGGCGCGGTGCAGGGGGAAGCGCAGGGTCAGCAGCTCCTCGCTGGAGAATCCCGCCTCCGGGCCGACTCCCAACGACATGGTGATCGGGGGCGACGGAGACTCGAGGCTGCTGCTGAGTCCCGACCGACTCCGAGCACAAAGAACCAGGCGGGGCGGGCGCGTGGCTCCTCCCCGAGCGGCGTGGGCGGAGCGCGCGGGGAGGGGAGCGGTTGGCCGGGAGCCGCGCGAGCGCTGGGTGTTCCTGCGGCTCCTCCCCCTGTCACCGCCTGCAGGCCGCCAG